TATATATATATATATATATCTATTCTCTAGTATAAGACATTAATGTACGCTAAGAAAGGGGGGACGAGATCGTGCGCATGCGCAGATCTCGTCCCTGGTCGGTTGTAACGTGTGAGTTACACATTCCTGTAGGAGACGTGTTGGACGCTAGACGCGAGACGAGTGACGTGCTTTACTGCATAAATCATTAACTAGTTAATACTGTGTGTATATTTATTGTATCCCATCCCCGCATAATCCATCAGGTTATGGGCACCGGGCACACTTCAAGCGCGCAATAAAATAAACTGTGAATAAGTGAAAAAGAAAAACTCGAGTGAAGGACTAAGTGCTAGCTAGGATTCCCATGAGGAACGTGCGGTGTGTCTGGAGGACTGAACGACGTGAAAAATAGAAAAACAAGGGACAATGGTGAGTAAGTAAAGTGATTTACATAAAAATCTGAAAAACAAGCGTCTCCAGATCGGCAGTAAGAATTGCATCATCACGAGAGTTCGGCGGAAACAACGAGGAAGCCGGATACAAAAATGGCTGACAACCATGAGTAACCGACGCGTTCAACACAATTCTTCTTTAGAAGCCGAAATAAAAGTCAATTAGAACCTAGGAAAAATTGCATTGATAACAATGACGTACGTCCGTTTTTCATGTCTGAGAAAAAGAGCTGGGAGAGTTGATGAGCTGAAAAGATAGAAAATAATTACAGGGAATTAGATGAGGGACGAGCGGTAAGGGGGGAGGGGTCGGTTGGCGTGGTGGGTGCGTTGCTGAAACGGCGGCGCGTAGTAATTAACAAAGTAGAGCCCACTGAGATGGTGATGCACACATAATACATAAAGTACAGTCCACTGGAATGGCGATGCGTAGTAATACATAAAATAGTGCTCATGCATGAGAGCACGTGTTCCAACCAAACCCGACGAGGAAAAGAAAATATGAATTAACCTACACCTCAGTGTGAAATTGAATCGTAATCATTAATTTGATTAAAATTACCACAGGTGACGACTTGTGGGAATTGTGGAGGAATTGTGAAGGACTACTTCCTTCGGATTCGATGAGTTTCACGGAGGAGAGAATGTTATTCTCGAGGTGATAGAGGAAACTCTATTAATGAAAACTCACAAGATCAAGTCTTACAAGTTGACGTAAGTTGACGTGAGTTGACGTCAATTGACGTGAGTTAATGTGAGTCAACGTGAGTTGACAAAAAGTCAAGACGAGAAAGAGATGAGAAATGCATGGGATTGAGTGCTTGTGAGGATATTGCCTAGCAAATATCTCCGCAATTTAATAGCACAAAAAATTCGAATAAAAATAAAAATATTAGTTATAAAATATATATATTCATGTATAGTTTTCAGAATCAAATCTGGAATTAGGATGTCCCATACGGTTGATTGGCGGTAGCACGTTTGACCGTACGACGTTTGAAACTGATAGACCTTTTGGGGATAAATTAGTCTTTGTGTAGATTTCTAATTTGTGTTCAAAGCTCTAATGCTGACAATGATTGTGTTCATCTTGTTAGCAGCGGAGCAAATCGTATAATTTTCATAAAATCATAATTAATTAATCATAAACTAAATTAATTTTAACAGGTAGAAATATGATGTCGGAGAATCAGTTGATAGCACTGACAAAATGGTATGGAGACAAGTTTCTAACCAACACACCTTCCATCATGCCTGAAGTTTATGAGGAACATCCACCAATTACTACTGAGGTCAGTGAGAAAACTGATGATGTGGAGAGCATGGACGGGGGTGAGAAAATTGAAGAGAATGGTAAGGGCGAGTAGGTTGACGAAAATGAAGAGGAGGTGGAGAAAAGATTAGGTGTGCCGTGGAGACAGTGATTAGTCAGTAGTAGTTAATGCTCTCAAAACAGGTAACAATAAACCCCAAATTGAAAGTACAGCATATGTAGAACCAAAAGTTCTCATAAAGTACTCAGCACCAATTCACCCAAAGGATCCAACGAGGAATCACCCAAATAAATCGCCAACTGAAATTCCGGTGCAGGACAGGCTAGAAATAGCCTGTACTAAACTGGACTCGGTAACCAGCGCACTCGTTAAAGTCATAAATATTCAAAGCAACACGAGTCGCTGGGTGCTGGATAGCATCAAAGAAGTGAAAAATGATTGGGATGACAGACTTTCCAGCATCGAAGAAAATCTGGAGAAAATGTTGACGTGGACTGACTATGAAGATCAGGGTAAGGAGGTAAGAAATGGGTCAGATTTATCAAATAATGGCGATGAGAATGAAGAGGATTGGGAGTTAAATGAGAAAATTCAGAACATTGTTAAAAGACATTTAGTAAATCTAGAACCACAAGGACTGAATTAAAATCGTGGAAGCACCAGAGACAGCAATGCTGATGTGGTTGCTGACACTATTAAATTCAATCTATTAGACAGGGGGCCATCAGTGAAACGAGATTATAAATTAGATAGTAATACTCGATATGAACATTTTTTTGATCATTTCAAATCAGAAGTAAGATCTCGCAAGCTTTTAAATGTTACAGACAGTAGTATAAAATTTAGAAAAGATCAAAAGACTTTGGACGAGCATAAATTCGAGGTGAGAGATATATTAATTAATCACATAAATAAATATTATTATTCTAAAGTAGTATCAATGCAAGATCCTGTTGAAGTGTTAAACAAACTCAAAGAAATAAAGAAATATGAGAACACCATTTCCTTAGTCTCTGTAAGGCTGGAAATTACAAGCATGAGATATAATATCACTAAATGTACAGCTGGTGAGTTTTACGATAAATCTGAAGAAGCTATTCGTAATTACGAAAATTCACCTGATGCCACCCTTTTGTCTGAAAATGAGAAAAGAGACGCGTTCAATAATGCCATTATTAAGTCTGTGCCAATGGTACAGTTGTCACAGTCCTCAGCTAAAATAGAAAATAAGCCACCCTTGACATATGATCAATTGAAAACTATTATGAGACAGGAAGAAGCCATCAGGAAACAAGAT